CCCACAATCAGCCTCTGGGAAATCTGAGTGTCCCGACTCCTATTTAAAGGCATTGACCATAAAACACTAACTGCTTCTTAGGATCCCACGTATCGGTGTGAAACCAGGTCCCTCTTGGTTTCCAGACCATCGTAAAGTCAGAGCAAAGACTGTATGGTATGTCCTATTTCTCCTTGCTCAAGAGCACCAGCGATTTTTTTTTTCATTCTAATGAATCGTCTCCATTTTACCACCAGCGTCATGTGGTTTGCCACTTAATCTGAGACAGTGTCACCTCCAGAAAGCACGCTTTCTAAACTGGTATACCTCACTTTTTCCCCCTTTAACTGGCACAGAGTTTTCCCTCCAGGGTGGTTGTCAGAACGGCTAAATGATTCCTGCGGCGCATGCAATCAGACACATGATATTGCCAAACTTTGTGTGACTACGGTTTCCATGACCTCTTCCTGGGCACCAGCTCCAGGAGCCAGGTCCAGTGAGGAAGCCCCTTGCTATCTTGCAGTCTTTGATGGGAAGGGGGAACCGTTCAAGAGGTTTGACTTTAAATTGAGATGGTTTGGCATAAGTCAATAACCTGAAGCCCTGCTGCAAAGTCTCTGCAGTGAGAGATTCTCACTTGGCTCTGCTGAATTGTATCGGAGGGAAGTGCTGAGTCCACTTATAACGCAGGTTGGCATTTGTATACATCTCTCAGAAAATAGCTGGCACTCCCAAGCATGATTGCTTCTGAAATCTCCTTTATAAAAGGCAGAAAACTGATCTGATTTTTGTTTTAACTATTATTATTTTTTTTAAATCAAAATGTGAATGGTTTAACTCGGTTCCATAATGATCCAACAACTTTGGTGCATGATTAGAGTGAAGTTGGAAATCAAGTGTCTGTGATTACAGGGCTTCAAAACATTGTTTCCCCGTTTGTCTAGTGCTTCAGCCAGGAGTTGGGCACACATGTGTGACAGCAGTACAGAATATAAGGAAGATGTAAGCATACGTCTCAGATGATATCCGGAAATATCGCTGTAGTAGTCCCACAGTCCAGTGACTTCCACAAGTTTATTCCCCTTATGAGACTTCAGAGAGATGAGTCAGAAGGAAGGGATGGCCCCCACAAATTAAGGCTTCCCACTAGCCAGGCAAGTGTTTACTGTTTTTGTGGCCCACATCTGGCCTAGATATGACTGCATATTTACACAAGTCATTGGGACCCTACTTCTGTCATGGAAACCACTGCTGAGGAGCCTTAAACTGTACAGAACTCAAATAATTAAGCCTCAACCAAAAAACAAGGTATAGAGTTGCACGCATTTTCCAGATAGGTAAATTGAGGCAGAGGGTCAAAAACATTGCTACGGAGCATAAGGTAACTGTTGAAGCAAAAATTAAGATCCCAGGAACCCCAACACTGGTTTCTCTGCTCTGCAGCTTCTTCAGGCGATGTAATGACTTGCTCAGCAAGGAGCCCCTAGCCACCAGTTTAAATTTACTGTGTCATGTGATGTGTCTTGCATTCCAGCCCAGTGAAAGCAAAATTGTTATTGTTGCTCTCCTTATGTATATGGAATATTAATATATTTATACTGTTGTGTTGCTTAAAAGAATATACATGGGCTAAAATTAAATTATTGAATAAGAGTTGTTTTCAAGTCTCTGGACTCTTCAGCTGCAGGAAGTACAGATGAGATCAATGTCTAGCTGCCCAATATCTCTTCCAAATGACTTTTTTTTTTTAAATAGATTTTCAGAGTGAAATATGTCACCCTAACAACGTAATAAACAATCTGGTTATGTTGGTGCATATAAATATTGCTGCGATCTTTCTTGCAGCGGCTAAATTTTCCAAGGACAGCATACATCGTATATAAACTTATTTATTAAATGCTGAATCCTAAACATGGTTGGGTTTACAGGGAGATTCCCTGTTGCATGTTTATCGGTCTCCGTTGCAGTGATGTCAGATTTTTGACAGATCCCAAGGTGGGCTCAGCATATTTTTTGGCATGGGTCATCGTGCAAGTCAATGGAGTTATAGATGGCTGGGATCTTTAGGCTAAGTACAGACATTCAACAGCCGAAGGCAGAATCCATCTAAGTCAGTGACTTTGCTGTAAGTGGCATAGTTTAGATCAGCTATGAACAGAACAGAAGTCTTAGACCAAGTTCTGCCATTTTTAAATCAGTTGGTGTGTGCTGAACTTCTGTTCTGTTATGGGTATAGACCACTTTCTGATCATTTATACTGGTAAAAGTGTAATGTCTGCATCTGGCTGTAAAGATCAGGCCCGCTGGGTAAGGACAGATGATCAAAAAGCCCAAGGCCGAACGAATTAAATCTTTGCAGGTTAATCTAAGCTGTTTAGATTGAACCAATAAGCAAGTGAACATACATTCACTTCTGATTCCAGAAATGCAGCCACGTACCTGCAGTGGCCCAGGCCAGAAGCCAGGGGGCACTAGAGCACACCTCCCTGCTTGGTTGGAGCAGACAGCATGGGCCAAGGCTAGTCTGTCCACCCTGCAAAGCATCCTGGGATGCTGGGTGATTGTGACTTGACTTGAATCTGAAGGGCGTCTAGGAGAGAAGTTCAATAAACCGGTTTCACCTGTCTGATACTGCATCCATCCAGGTTTATATTAACCGAGTTTCAGCCATTTTGAAAGCAGCTGACATGCACTGAAGTTCTGTCATGTTACAAATTTGACCCAGTTTCTATTGATTTAAACCATTTTATGTATAATTCCAGTCCCGAGCCACTATGTACATGCACCTGCTGGATGTTATCTATCTCACTGCTGTCACAGGGAGGGAATAAATCTTCACCGGTTCTTTCATAGTCACCTGTCTAGCAAGGCACTTTAACAGGATGCATCACTTTAAGCATGGGAGTAGTCCACTGGGAATTCTCACATATGCTTGGGCTGAACGTTTTTGAACAGGACCCGACTTGAGTTCCTTATAATCTGCCTTCGTCAAAAGAAATACGCAAACTCCCCTTATGAGCAGCACGATGGTTAAACGGTAGCAAATTAATCTGTAGTACACAATGACTCCCAAATAAGAATAGGGAAGCATCCTGAAGGGATAGCTTCTCTTTCAAGAATGGGTGGCAGATATGCAGCCTCAGTCGCTGGAGACGCGATGGCTGTGAAAGCCTGTCCTTCAGACTGCCCTGGGTTTGCAATGCGCCTGACAGAAGGAAACATTCAGGGGATTAGTTGAGGAGGCATTCAGATTTGCTTTGTGTTTTCTTTGCACAATGGCAGGGCCTAGGAGGTTTAGCTGGTGCTTTCAGACATGGTCACTGAGTCTCAAATGATGGAGAAACCCACCTTCCCTTCCCCCTCCTCCTTCTAAAGAAAATCTGACTTGACAACGTTCACTCACAAAGATAGAAGAGACTAGCCAGAGGGCTTTAAGCCTGTTGTGGATGACAGACGAGCCTGTCTGCTGTCAATAATTTACCACTGTAAATAAGCAAAAGTATAGTGAAAGGTTGCGGGGGGGGGACCTGCGTTTTTACAGAATAGCAAATGGGCTGATGTGCGGAGGTGCTGACCGCTGGCAGCTCTCTGAAAATCTAGTGGCAGCTGTGGGCTGCAAGGATCTCTGCAAATCAGGTTAGCTATAAGGCAAGGCCAAATTTGCTCTGAACCAAGCCAACAACAAATCTCTCGGTGACGTTGTGTAGCTACGGACCCTAAACTAACAAGTAGCCCTGACTGCAGCTAGATATCCTTTGCAGCCAGAGACAAACTGAGAACAGATTTGCAAGGAAATACAACAATTAAGAATGTGCACAGATAAAAACCTGGGATGCGTTTGTGTGCGTGTGAGAGAGTCTGTTATGATTCACCTGGCGATCCCCCTACTTTTCCAAAGCATTGAACTCGCAGCGTTTTTGGCGCCTTTGGTCCCTTTGTATCCAAGGGACTCGGAGCATTTTGCAAATAGGAAAGAGCATTGTAGCGCTCTGCCATTTAGAGCTTTCAGAGGAACGTAGACCCTACTTTTCTGGAGCAGCTGCGTTTGTGCCAAAGTGTGCCTGCATGGTCGTGTGTCCAAAGGAAAACAGCATCTTTGTCAAACGAAAATGGGAAAAGAGATACAAGGCCTCTGCTACTGCCACTTGGACTTGATCAACTTTGGGTTCCTTCCTCATTGCTGCACTATGATACTTGATATACAGAGGCCATTTTAGAGCAACAGGCCCCAGTCCAACAAAGCTCTTTCACGTGTTCAAAAACACATATATTCCTCTTGAGCTTTGATGGATACTTAATATGCTGAAATTTAAGCAGCGCTGCTGAAATGCTTCAATGGGTTGCTATGAAAGTGTTTAGCACCAAAGAGTAAATGTGTCTCGCATTCTTCCAAAAATAAGGAATATTATTAGTTGCTATCAATAAAGAAAAAATAACTATTAACTATATGATGCACTTGCATCAACCTGCAAAATATTGGGTCCAAACCGGATGGAGGTAGGCAGAATATCCTTTGTCTTTTATAAATTGGTCAGGTGCTTCATTCAGTGCTAGAAATGTACAGCCATAAATTTTTGCAAGGAAAAAAAGATTGCAGTTCAATGATGTTTGACAACTTTCTGGAGGACTACTCGGAATATCTTGTAGTAAAAGGAAGGTGCTTTTTTGTGTGACAAAAGCGATGTCCGTATCTTTCTCTGTACTCTGCCAAGATAGTCAAGAAAAGGATGGTGTGACAAGATATTGAGGCATCCCAGCACGCGAGGCTTGCCAGGGTCCTGTGGGATCTGGATGGGGTTATACAAAGGCTGAGGGAAAGGCTGTCCTCTCTCCCCCAAGGTGGCTAAGTCCAGGCAGACTTCAGATGGTTCAAGCAGAAATGTGCCCTTTTTATTATTATAGACATTATCAGATATAAGATGCATACATATCAGATGTGTCATCATAGTGCACGATTGAGGGGATGATGTAAAGGGAGATGTTGTTGAGATTGGGCTTTCCTTTTCCCAGGTGACACAGGCTTACTGATAGACTGTAGGGTTTTTTCCCACCTTCGTTGAACCTCCAAATCCATACACGGTGCAGCCTTGGTGCATTGCCGAGTAGACCACATCCATGGTGGTGACGGTCTTGCACTTGGCATGCTCCATGTAGGTGACGGCATCATGGATAGCATTCTCCAAGAAAACCTTCAGCACCCCCTGGCTCTCTTGGAAGATGAAGCCAGAGACGAGCTTCACGCTACCACGCTGAGCCAGGCGGTGGCTGTCCAGCTTGGTGATGTTGTCCTGCATCACCTTCTTGTGGCGCTTGGTGCCGCCTTTCCCCAGCCTCTTACCGCCCTTGCCATGACCAGACATGATAGCAGGACTTCCACTCCAAGAGACTGAAGATGGCTATTTTTCCATCTTTACAAATGCACATTGAGGGAGGGCTAGGTGCCCTACAGTCAGTCGCATGGTGCCAGTCTGAAGAGCACGCCGTATAAAAGGTAGAACATAGACCATACCCCTAAGCACATTGACCCCACTTAAAACTCAACCCGAAACCCAAGATCAACAACCAAACTCATGCTAGGAGGCTGGCAGGAATTTGACACTGCAGTGTCCTCGGCACATAGAAGATGTTCACTTCACTTGATTATCATCAAAGCTGGATGGAGCCTTTTCTCCGTTTCCCCTCTCTGCAAGAACAAGGAAATGTATGAGCTGACTGATGCCTGATGCAGAAAAGAAATAAAATAAAGGCAGGTGTTGTGGGAAATGACTGGAGGCTCTGAGAAGCGGGGAAAAAAGACCATTGCAGCAGGACGCCGGTTCAAGAAAACACGCAAGGATGTGTTTAAATCTCATTGAAGGCAACAAGACTTAGGCATGAGCTCAATTCTTTCCTGAAGGGGGACAGCAATTACAATCTTTTCCCCATTTCCTGGCACTTACCAGAACATTTCAAGTAATATTTAGACTCCCTTTTCAACTTTTTGGCATCACATCATGGCAAGATTTTCCTGCCAACTTTGTTGTCTTGGGAACTTGCTCGTTCTGCCTTTATATTGACCAAGTCAGAAAAATCCAGAGCCATATCCTCGGCGAATGCAAATCTGTACATTTCCACTGAAGACAACTGGTTTATGGAAAAACTTGCACAAACTTGAGTCCGGTCCCCATGTCAGTAAACGCCCAACATGGACTACCACTGGCCAAAAAGCTGCTTTGAGACTCATTCAGAGAGTCGTTCGCTTGCTTAGCTGGCAAACTAGACCACGATATGATGGAAATGCAGCTTCTTTCTAATTGGATTGGCAATACAGAGGCTTGGATTACTTTGTCATCTAAATCATGCTGTTTAGTCAGAACCTCTATTGTTACTTTGAAACATCTGGCCCAATTAAAAGCAGGACAGCATGCGAACTCATTTGAATGGCAAAGGAAGGTTAATTTTAACATGCCCCGTAGGCAAAAATCTGTTATATGCCGTATCTGGAAGATTCACAGTGATTACAGACGTTTTGAAGGCTGATTGAAATTTTACAAATGGGCCCATTTTTTAAAAAGAATGGGTCTTTCATTTAGGAAGGGCAAGAGTATGTGCATGTGAGCTTTTGCCTGGGCTAAGTGGCTGCATAAGTGCATAGCCATATTTTTCCAGGGGCACAGGTAAACACACACCTACTTTATATAGCCAAGCTGGTGTCAGGATAAGGCTATTGGGAAATATAGCACATTGAGGGCACTGTGTAGGGCCAGGTCTGGAAGTGGGGTGAGCTCCTCTGACCCTCAGCTGAAAATGATGAGTTGGTATGTGGTAGGGTCAGGACAGTTGCAGACCCAGTGCAAAGCCTGAACATGCATTAAGTACGTACTAGGTGTTTCCTGCCCAAGAGCAAAAGCCACCTTGTACCATATTCCAGCAGTCCACATCATATCCACATGGAGAAACAGGACTCATGGCTAAGGGAGATGGAAGTTATTTCCATTTATTTGTATTGATCAGCATCTTCCTGGGGATCGACAAGAGGCACTTCCACGTAGCAATCCCTGGTAATGGCCAAGAGCACCCGAATCAACAAAAATGCCAAAACACCTTGTCACACCATCCTTTTATTGACAATCTTGGCCAGCATAACAAGAGGCTGAATGGCTGGTGCAACTTCAGTACCCGTTCAGTTTAGAGCGAGTTCTCTTAAGTATCTATGTGTCTGTGGAAAAAGAAGTATAGTGGACTGGTACCTTGCACAAGTACAAATAGACAAGAAAAAAAAAAGTGGAGCTCAGCAGTGGCTTTATTTTGGGTGATGTGGACATATGGATAAATGGAAAGACGCATATAAAATGCGTGGGATCTAATGCCAAAAAGTCATTTTTGGATAATAGCAGTATTATTTCATCCGAAGGTACTATATCATCTCATTGGCAATGTAAGCAGCCTAGCATGCTCTAAGTCATTTGGGATACTTGAAGAACTTCTTAGGTACTTGGTCACATTACTACTCTGTATTGGTGACCAGGTCGACTTCTTCTCCTACATCCCAATACATTCGTTGTTGTACAGGGGCTGTGAAGAACAGTATTCGAAGGCACCTATTGTGATATATATGTATTGCATATTGACTCCAGCAGCTGTCAGGACTTGCGGCATAGTGATAATTTGACTTGTACTGCATTTTACTTTTATGGCTTTCATCCCAGAGAAAGCTACCATTATAATGTTAGCTGACCAAGCATAGGTACATGCTTAGCAGTTACATACGCATTAGTCCAGGCAAATAATTGTTCCCCTGAAATGATAGAGGATGATGCTTTAATACCATCAGTGCAATACTCCCCACAAGCAATACTGGCTAAGACAACAGCAAATGGCTGCAGCATCTGTAGCTGGATAGATAACTGCCTGACCAAGTGAAGCTGTGCTACAGTTCTGCATTGCCAGTCAGGCACTGAGAAAGGAAGGGCAGCAGATGGCCATTTTGTGGAAATGCCATCAGCTAAACTCTTACAAATTCATGCCCTATTGTCCAGAACGAGACTGTCATTAATGACCGCAGTTTGACACTACTCGTTACGTCTATTAATGACTACTGCCAAAGTGAAATGGCAAATAAGAAATGGAAGCCAGCTACTTGTAAGGCCAAATCTGGATTTGCTCACTGAAATTAGAGAGTCCACATTGTCTAGCGTGTACTCCATACCTCATTGCCTCCAGTCTTTAAAGAGCTGATGAAGTGTATTGATTCATTCACAGTGTCATCAAGGTGGGCAAAAATCCATTAGTGACAGTAGGCCTCTTTCTTTTTTTGGTTGCCTACTCACTTAAAAAAAATCCAAACCCCCCCCACAGTGGATACATTTCAACAGCAGCATTTCTCAATTACTTTGTGTTGATTAATGACTCCATGAGGGGGAGGAATAGAGAATTGTGCTGTGTCTTAATATGACTCCCTTATTCTAGCACAAGACTGACTCATTGAAAGAATCAATAAAAACTGGTAACAAACCCTTCCAGATCACTGTTTCACAATCATTTCAACACGAGTAAGCACGGTGCCCTGTTAGCAGATAAAAAAAACAAAAACAAACTGATGCCTGAAGTGCAAATTATTTTGGAGAACAGCCTTTGAACCTGTACGGTATTAATGGTCCTCAGATGCTGCTATGTGGGAGCATTCTTCATGCTCTTAGAAGGTACTCAACACTTGCATTTCTGGACTCTAATGGTCTTAGTTTCAAAGATGATAAGCACCCAGAAGTCCCAGTAACAGCCACCATCTCTGGAAAACAACATCATTAATCTAGCACTACTTGATCCACCAGCTTTCTTTTCAAAAGATTGTAATACTAAGGAGAAAATAATATTTTGAGGCCCATATTCTGTCTTGAATGGAGCTTTGTGTGGTCACACTCGTGTTAATGGGAGTGCTGCAGAATCTGGATGGCAAGACGTGCCTGCATCACAACCGTGATGTTCCGGTTGCTAAGCTATTTCACTCCAAACCCCCATTTTCACTGACTAGTAACTATAATGTTTGCAGAAAAATTACCCTTTGGGCTGAATTTTCATTTGCTTGGTCTCCACTCATCAGTGATTTGCTTTGGAGAGTTCCATAAAAATCATTCAGCTGGTTTTATGAGTTACAGCATATGAACGTAGGGGGGAAATGCAGTTTTCAGCTATTTAGAAAATTTTGGCATACTTTTCCTGCTTATATAACTCAAAAATGCTTTCTCTTAAAGCATCAGGCTCAGCATGAAGCATGAGAAATCCATGCTCTGCCTTGTTTGAGACCATTGGTTTTGAAATAACAAAGTTATGCAAACTTGAAAATAGCCTTTTGTGTGAGTCTGGCAGTAGGTTTGTTTCATTAGTTTCAGAATGATGCATTAAAAATGGAGCCACTGACCTGTGTACACTCCTGGGTCACGGAGGACAGTCATTTTTTTTCTCTTTTGCATCCGTAACAGGTTTTCATATGTGACTTTGGCTGCCCTACCTCAAAGGGAGCTTCCCTCAGGTCTTTTTCTTTCATAGGATTATTGACCATTTTCCTGTGGGTAAAGTATTCTCAGTACCTTGATCCTATAATAATGACCATAACCTCTTGGACAGAAATAATACCTCGGATGTATTTGGGGCATCCCCACATATGCCCCGGACTCCATTCATGCTCCTTTTGCAGCCCCAGATTGTTATAGCATGCCTTCCCTTCTCCCTTTCAAGTGCTGAAAGTTTTGTCAGTGATTTGAACGGGACCAGACTCTTACTGACTTGAAAACAGTGTTTCTCCTGGGGAATGATTGAGTTTCTGAAGTAAAGGGGCCAGCACACTGGTGCTCTGCTTCAGCTCTAGCCACAACCAAAGTTGTAAGGGGTGAAGTAGGAAATTGTGGTCTTCTCTGAATGGAAGGTATCATTGGGTTCAAAGAGTTGAGCTGAAGTGGCTTGGCAAAGGGTATTCACAACTGGGTAGCTGCTGCCCTAATCAAGGTTACTGCCACTTTAGGGTTGGTCTGGTTTTTCATCTTGAGTTCTTCCCTCCAGAGCAGGAAGAAGTTACACTTCTAGGATTGACGGATGAATTGGCATTGGTAGAATAACTATGAAGAGATGGGTATTAGTGGAGTAATAATTCACATTAAGGGTGGCCAGATCTTCACAATAAGGGTGGCCAAAGCTTCACAGTAAGGGTGGCCAAAATTTGGACTGGGCTTCCAAGGCAGGTGGTGCTCTCCCCTACTTTGGGGGTCTGTAAGAGAAGGCTGCATAGGCATCTGCCTGGGGTCATCTAACCCCAGCACTCTTTCCTGCTTAGGCAAGGGGTCAGATTCAATGATCTGTTGAGGTCCCTTCTGGCCCTAGCATCTAT